TTAGGCTATAGAAATGAATGAAAAATGAATGGAAGTCAATGCAAAGGCCCCATAAAGATAGCAAAACAAACCTGTGTGTGTGTGTGTGTATGTGTAATGAAGGTGCAAACGCTGCAGAAAACTGTTGTTTTTTTTTTTAAGCAGTGTAGACGCTTCCATAATCCTGTTCAGTCCATTTTAGGTTCATTAATGTAGTTGGCCATCAGGCAGAAAACATTTGATTGTTATGCATGATGGTTGAGTGTTTTGGACTGATGGTCCTCCATTTTTCATGTGTAAAGACAGTTTCTGTGAACTCCACAGCAGACCAGATTGAACCACGTCAATAAGGTGATATTTATAAGACAGATGTTGGTGGTGGGCAGCACGGTGGCGCAACTGGTAGAGCTGCTGCCTCTCAGTGAGCAGGTCCTTGGTTCAAATCCCGGTCCGGGGGCCTTTCTGGGTGGAGTTTGCATGTTCTTTCCGTGCATGCATGGGTTTTCTCCAGGTACTCCAGTTTCCTCCCACAGACCAAAAACATGCATGTTAGACTGATTGGTAACTCTGAATTGTCTCTAGGTGTGAGTGAGAGAGTGAATGGTTGTTTGTCTTGTTTGTCTCTATGTGTCTCTGTGATGGACTGGAGACCTGTCCAGGGTGTCCCCCGCCTCTCACACAGTGATTGCTGGACATGGGCATCAGTGACCCCAGTGACCCAAAATGGAAGAAGAGGTAAAAGATAATGGATGGATTGTTGTAATGATTTGTTGAGTGGGAGACATGTTGACGTTAGCGGTGTGCATCATTTCCTGTTTGCTCTGTTGCTAGTGAGAAAGCCTTTTTGGTTGCTCATTGATTTTTATATAAATTAATAATTAGCTTTCCTTTAGCCCTAAATTGACTTTTATCATCAGTATATAAAGAAACTGAGCTGAATTATATGTTCACATCAGTTAGTGAGCAAAGTAAGATTTAGTCTGTTATTTCTTCAACCTGTAGATTATTGGATTTAGTGTTGTATGTGTTTTTCTTTTTTATAATGGTGGAGATGTTGCACAACTGCAACATGCACATGTGGATCAACCTTTGACTAAAAGGATTAGAAGAATTAACTGTCAGACATTATTGTGGGAAAAACAGGATTTACATTCTGCACCAAACACCAAAGTAAAGCCACAGTTTCTGTAACAACTACATGTTGTTAAAAACATTACTGTAAAAACTCTATAAACATGTTGGAAACTTGTTTCCAGCTCTGTTTAACTTTATTTTTATTTTACCAAGCCCCACCAGGGAACGCAGCACTCTTTAAAAAGAACCACAACAATATGAACAGGAAAGTTCTCAGGAAGTGGACTACATATTTTCCAGCTGCTGCTACCGGCCCCCGAACATCCCCTGCAAATGTTTGCTAATCTGAACAGAGTGAGATAATGCTGCAGACTGAGGGAGTAAACACCAGGAGATGGTTAGATGGATGGATGGATGGATGGATGGATGGATGGATGGATGGTGGATGGATTGATTTATGGATGGATGGGTGAGTGGATGGATGTGTGGATGGATGGATGGACACATAGATGATTGGACAAATGGATGAACAGATGGATGGATGGTTGGACAGATGAATGGATGGGTGGATGGGTGAGTGGATGAATGGTTGGATGGATGGATGAACAGATGAATGGATGGATGGATGGATGTTGGACAGATGAACATACGGATGGATGGATGGTTGGATGGATGGATGAACAAATGGATGGGTGGATAGATGAATGAATGATGGATGGTTGTGTGGATGGATGGATGTGTGGTTGTGTGGATGGATGGACACATAGATGGTTGAATGGATGGACAGATGGATGTTGGATGGATGGATGAACAGATGGATGGTTGGATGGATGATGGTTTGTGTAATATTTTGACAGAATCATCCCACCCTCATCAAACTC